TGGTTTCGCTCTAACCACCAAGGTGTCACCAATCGTATCGCTGACCGGTGGGTACATGGACTGAATGCTGGCGGAAGGTGGTTTCGCTCTAACTACCAATGTGTCACCAATCACCAAAGCGAAGTTTGTCTGAGACTCGTCAGTTTCTGTCTCTTCCATGAAATTAAGTACGGGGGTCCGCAACAACTCCTTGGTTCCAATCAATGTGCTGTACTTACCTGTGCACTTTTTAAGGATTCTAGCCACATGTCGGACCATTGTCTTCAGTCTGTGGGTGAATGCACTTGAGATGAGAGGTTTGATGCCCTCCTCGCTGCCTCCACCTCTTACAGAGCTTTTGGAGAGCTCAATCACTCTCACTGTGACCTCTGTAACCACAGTGTCTGTTACCTTGTCCATGCTTCTGCCACTGATGTTGGTGACCCCGGTTGCCTCCAAGAAGGCACGGGAGATAGTGTCACCCAGACACTCGCGGACATCGTCTTCAAAGATGTTGCTCTTCTGTGATCTGGCAGATCCAGAAGAGCTTTTGGAGGATTTGGGAGGGTCTCTTCTCTTCGACAGGCTCTGTTTGTAAAACCCGTAAATATATACGAATGTAGTATTAATTATATCCACACACATATTAGTAATTACATACTTAGCCTTTTTGTCTAGAGACCCAGACTCCAGCATCGACCACTGTACGGGTGTCAGCTGCACCAGGCCCCAACGGATAAGTCCGGGAAGACTCTCCATTGTGTCTTCATCCATCTCGTCTCTGTTTGTATCCATGACTCCTAAGTCCTGTAGAATCTGAACTTTCTGTTTGTCTCTTTGGTCTTGTAATATAAGTGTCCTGTAGAATCTGAAGTGAACCAGGTTGGATCTAGATCCTTTATCTAGATTCTGAGAAAGAACGTTGTCTTTGTATCAAAGGAACATTCTATTGGCTTTGATCTTTGGATGACATCACGGCATTCCAATGACATCACAGCAAAAGATGAATAGAATAAAAAGAAACAACATAAAATTCCGACATTAAAACATTTAAAAATAAACACGTAATAATTCATTGATTCAGTCTCTGTTGGAAATTCTGATTCATAGTTTAATGAATATGTTCAACAACTATTAATCACTAGTAAGCTGAAGGACTGTCTCTCTTCTGTGCTTTTATGTTTACCTTTATGTCATTGCCTTTGCTTTCAACAAACTCAACCTCATTTCATTCGCTGTAAGTTGGATTTTTAGGCGAACACATTGGGGAGTTGTAATCTTCTGGCAGATTTTTGTTGTTTTATTTTGCTAATTTAATGTTCTTCCTGTGAATACGGAGAGTTCCCACACGTTCACACAGCGAGCTGAAGAAGCAGCCAGCAGTCTGTGGACCCCAGGGGCCACAATAATCCACATATAATATTTAATAACAAAACACAGATATATATTTTAAGTTTGATAATTAAATTATATTTTAGTTTCATTTTCATTTAATTCAATTATATTCAAAGTTCATTTTCTTCTGAATTCCATAGATAATAATAATAATAATAATAATAATAATCTGAAAAAAGTGAGACACAGACGACAATTTGTTTATTTGTTTATTTCTGCATGTTTACACATTAACTGTCAATAAACGATTTCAGCAAAACTATAAATCATAAAATCTGTTCACAAAATATTCATCTGTTAAAACTGAAAGATTAGTGAATAAAGTCACAATTCAAACTTGATTCTGATATTTTGAAAATGAAAATCAAATTTAAAATGATTAAATATTTGTTTTATAATCTAAACGTCACAAATGTGATTTTATTGAGTAAACTGATAAGAGTCAGTCAGATAAAATCACTTTAATTATATATATATAATATTCATTCAGATTGAATAATGACCCGCAGTTCACACAGGAGCAGGGGATTGTGGGTAGGATGAGGGTGATGATGTCATCTGTACCTGAGGAGGACCTGCTCGGCGGCTTTGAAGGACAGGAAGTTGCTCCTCCCTCTTACTTCTTCCTCTTCTCCTCCTCTGCTCTCTGCTTCCTGTAGCGCTCGTGGGCGTCCACGATCTCGCCGACGACCGACGGGTCGTCCAGAGTCGACACGTCACCGAGGTCGCTGCTTGTCTCCACGGCAACCTTCCTGAGGATCCGCCTCATGATCTTCCCGGAGCGAGTCTTCGGCAGCCGCTTCACCACCTGAGAGAGAACGACAGGAAACACTGACTCCTGATTGGCTGATGGGTGAGACACATAACTGTCTCACAGCAGACACACAGACAGAAACTGTTCAAACTGATGAAAATGTTCTCAGGACAAAACAGAGATTCTGTTGCCATGGAAACACAAGTTAAAGGGCGGGGCCTCACCAGGAAGTGCTCCGGGACGGCGTATTTGGCGATCTTTGTGGTAACGAGTTCTCGGAGCTGCTGAAGGATGGCGGCGGGGTCGTCCCCGAACTCCTCCTTCAGAACGACGAAGGCAAACGGCACTGAGACACACACACACACAGGGAACCTTTCCTGAAGTGATCTCCTGTCCTTGCTCTAAAAATGATAGACATCAAGTATATTAGCCGGGATGGGACACATCAACCTGGATTTTTTTCGCGTCATCACGGGCTATCTCGGTTGATTCTCAGTCTTTGAATTGCGAAGATCATTCGAGTCTCAGAAGTGAGAACGAATGCACACGGAAGTTTAGGATTGGACGTATGGTGACTCAACCTTGTAGCATATGGGAGGGCTCGATAGGTCCTAGAACCACCCATTAATACTCTTGTACTCTGGGCGCACACGAGGACAGATATCACCTAGTCAAGGCTAGATAGTTTGAAGTGCACTGAATGTACTCAGGAACATCCCTAAACAGAAGAAATTTCTGGTTTGCAAGTCGTTGTATCACAGAACAAGTTTAAACACCTGTATAGGGGCCGGACTGCCGCGCCCCCTCATCAGGGGGAAGTGCTTCCGGGTTTAGCAGTGCGACGGCGTATTTTGCAGGCAATACTTTCTGGGGTTAAGTTTTTTCTTTTTTGGTAAACTGAATTTTTCTCTAGTAGATGAGCTTGTTCTGTAAATAGTTGTAGGCGGAGTTGGCTCACATTAGGCTAAGCCATGTATTTGGGACGGCGAGCAGGTCCCCGGGATAATAACCTTTTCCCTATCTTGGCAAGATGGGGAAAAGGAGGCTTTGGGTCCAACATAAAATACACATCGCCACATTGTAGACCAATCAACTCACAACAACACACCCAACCAACAGTACCAAAACAACAAGGCCACTCACACCAAAATCCACTGCCAACATACATAATTATGATAAAACTGCACAACCTTCTTCAACGGTTGTGTAGTGTGTCTTAGGTCAGCAGTTGTTTTCTTGTGATGACGTGTTTGATTTTGACCAAGAATGCGGCATTCCTACGATTTTGTGTAATCTGAATGAGAGAAAATGAGTAGTGTAGAGTTGGACATTATCGGTATATTAGCGGCTCACACTTGTTGTCTCTTGGGATCATAACTAGCTAGAATAGCAAAGACATATCCCACAAATTGAAAATTACTATGTGTTCGCAGAGCTTTTATTCTCATGTAAGGACTGATTTATTGGCAAATTTATGGCGCATGTTGATCAGACAGGTGCATGGTTAAATGAGAGCAGTGAAATGTGGGGGCGAGCAGAACTGTGAGGAAAGATGTTGAGTGGTGTGTCGAGCTAAGGAGAACGAAGAAAGGCAATGGAGGTGGACTGCGCCCAGAGAGTTCCATGTTTGGCGGCGCCATGAAGTGCGCGCCGTGCTCGTCGCATGACGCAATTAGCAGAGGCAGCGAAAGTGGCTGCGCCCAGGGTGTAACGGGCGGATGGTGGCTAGCTGTTGAAGGTGGGGTGCAGTGGCAAGGGGCAAGCATGCGTTATGGGCAACTGTGGGCGGCAGTGAAAACGAGAGGGCAGGGTGAGAGGCGCATGCTTGCATTCGAGGGCAGGATAGAGGGAGGGGCGTAAATAGACAAGTAGTTGGGCGACATAAGTGGTCAAGGGGGGGTGTGAGGCCGGGAGGGCAGGACACTGGTGCAAGGAGGTGTCAGAGGAGCAGCAGTAGGTAGGGGCAACCTGAAGCCGAAAAGAGGAGATGGCATTACGCTAGAGAGCTGTGTCAAGCTTTGAAGGAAAACAAGGGACAGCAATGGCAGGCTCAAAGTATCTCGATGGGATGGAGACAAAGGACGGAGAGGCAAGTGATAGAGGGCAGGAGGGTGAGGCAGGGAAGGGGTCTCGGACAGGTGTGTCCTTGTAGGAACTCCGGGCGATTAGGGCGAGCAAGAGGAAGTGTGGACTTCTTAGGAGGGACGAGGGCTGGAGGATGGGGATGGTTTTAGTTGTGCTTTTTTGTTGTAATCTCCCTAGATACTTTTGGGACTAGGTGCCATAATTGTTTGTCTGCTTAGATAACGCGACAATGCACGCATTGTTCTCGTTTGTCAAAATGATATTATGTTAAGTCAGAAAGGTGAGTGTAAACCAAAAGACTAATATAGCTGTTTGACAGGAAGCCCTGAGGTACACATACTCCCTGACCCAGACAATCATGTCGAAAATACCAATTAGTTAAAATATCTGAGAAATAATAAAGACAAGAGACATAATCATCCTTGTAATTTATATGAAATACTCATAGATTTGTTTTGATATTCAGTCTTATTCTTGTTTTATGAATTGTTTATCAGGTTGTATATTCAATATATGACAACTTGTCTACCCAAGGATCCACCTCGTGAAATCCTCATTTAGTTTTAAGGGTGGGTTTCACCTCCATCGACTTTACTCTAAGGTTATGTAAGAGGACTCATTGTGTTGTATTCTCTGTGCTCATTAAGTAAACCAAACTCAGAGGAAGGCAAAGCTAAGTTCAGACGGTGCCATCAATGGATGTTTGTAATAGCTTTTCTTCACCTTGCATCTTTAGTATTTCTTGTCATGTGTGTGATTTCACGAACTCCGCTAGATTGTTGCGATTTCGTGTCTTGGATATGTATCCATACCATTGAACAGGACGACAAAATGGATAGAAGATAGATACAATGGCGGTAGGGGAGGGTAGCATATAAATCTTAATCATACACAGGAATAGTTGCAAGGACCTAAGCCTACGAAGAGGGGGTTAAAGTCTGATACAAAGATGATGCTATTGTTGTATTGCTCTAGGTGATCCAAACACATGGGAACAATCACACTTCCAATACAGACCGCATGATAGAATTTTCAAGTTATACGCTCGATGGTGAAGATCCTGATACTCCGCAAGTGATAAAATATAATACGCTATGTGTTGGATTGTAGCTCTGTGAGGCGTCCATCACCCAGAGGCGTCCTCGATCTCCGCCAGTTGCACGAGGTGGGTGTGTATGGGCATGTCTGACCTGCGTTTGCTTTACGTCTGTTCTTTTCTGCGGGTCCTCAGAATCGGTACTCTGTAAAGTGCTATGCTCGTACTCTCTGTGAAGCGGTCTTAGCGTGTGTTTCTTCGAATCCCAATGTGTGTATTTGTTACTGCTACCATGACTCATTACGGCCTACCTGTCCCTAGTTGAAATAAACCCTATGGTCATAACCCTCTATATTGATCTCGAGAGGTACAGCTGCAGTCACAGACTGCAACAAATGACTTGGATCTGAACCACCCATATATGGACTGAAGGTTTGGCTTCGACTTACTGACACAGTGAATATGTATTCTTGATTTCGCCACTCAGTTGGCATTAAACAGACTCTGGTAAAGCTCCCCCGCTTATAGAATGGATCTAGCGAGCCTATGTCCCGTTGTGGCTCGTCGGCTGGGCTGATTACACAAGACGCGCCTGTCTGATACAGAGTTGTGTGAAGCATACCCCCATGCGTGTATACCGACTATTGTACTCTCGTCTCATATCTTTTTTCGCCTCTCGCTACACATGCCGCTGTTGATCTACTATGTTTGAGAGGAAGGGTGAGTATTGTTTTAATTACCAGGAGGGAGCTTCACTGTTCCGGTATAGACTTCTATGGTCTCTCGCAGAACAGCATAGGCTGTTTTTAGTCAGGCCACGCCGTGGCCCGGGATGGCTGTAGTTATATCTACGAGGGACCACCAGAGATATCATATGGGCGTGATTTTACATAAAACCTGAAATCTCTGTGTCAAGTTGAAGAAGTGATAACCTATGTAGGTTGGTTCAGGTCATTGTTTGCAAGTACTGTCGAATCAGCCTGTCTCTGTCGCTGTATGATGTTATGTTGATGTCAACTGGGGCGACGGGCGATTTGCATGTTCGCTGCAGAATAGCCGACCCGGCTAAAATGAAGCTAATACACTCACAGTGATTCTATTAAAATTCAGGCCAGACCCACATCTTTGGTGTCAGAGCGCGTATCAAGATCCAACTTTCTACAAGCCGGTGTTTATTGTCGGCTTGCACGGCGGATGTCCCTTCGGCATCCGATACTGGATAGAGACGTCTCATCGCCTCCATAACAACACACACGCATCATCATTTGTAAATTCTGCATTCGTTTCAAAACTGGACGCCCAAGCACGTTAATAACTATCCTGACTTGTTCAATTTCGCCACAGTGACATTTCATGTGTGCAAATTTTACTCTGATTGCAATTTTTTCGTCTTCTCCTCTTCGGTTAGCCTCATGCTAGTTCCGGATTGAAGGTAAATATAAAAACTTAAAATACTTATCTTAGATATCACTAGTATATGAAGGTATAGAATAGTGTTCGGTAGTGTTCCAGGGATCGCCAAACATTATCCAGCTAGTTCCAGAAAAACACACAAACGCTTGTGATATCGGTAATCCTCATCATTGATCCATCAAAGGAGCAAGGTGAGAGCTAAACTTCCCATTTGATGCTCTAGCTGCTGCTTTACTCTAGTGTGTTGTCATATTGTGTGTATCGGGAAGTGGTTATCACCTCTGAAACAGAATCTGTGTGGCCCTTCCCTTGTCTTGTGTAGTCTCGCGGAGGATTCCAGCTATTTAAGCGCACTTTTCAAAATAAGGATCAAACAGCAGTGGTGCTGGTGGGACGGAGTATCAGAACGCGGGCAGTGAAAATTCGCAAGCTGTCAAATAACATATCCCGAAGCAAATTTACCACGAGGTGGCAATCTTCCATGCTAATAATACATTTTTTATGGTCAAAACTTGTCAGCAAACCAGGGGATTGTACAGGGAACAGATCCGTCCAAATAGGATAAAATTACATGAATCATTCATGAATTTCATGGGATCTTGATTATTCTTATATATTTGTTCACTGTCTTGCAAGTGTTTGTACCCGTGAACCGCTAATATGAAATGATAGATATTCTCCTGGATATCTTGAAGTGATTGGGACAACACATGATGATCTCTGTCTATTGTAACATAGTAGAAATGTATGATCATACATAAAAAGGAAAGTACACACATCCGCCGCTCCATACACTGGCCCCCTGCTCGCCCCTGTGGCTGCTAGGCCCCTCCTGCCTATGACTCTGACTCGGCGCATCTGACGCACTCCGCTCCTGCACCTACTATCCTGCGCTGTCCTTGCGCGCCCGCCTAGCATGCCGGTCATGCTGCCCCTCCTGTCTTGCAGCCCTCCTGCTCTCCCGGATACGTGCCCGTCATGAACTAGCGCCCGACTCGGATAGCCTCCCTTACCCATACTCGATCCTCGGTAGACTGGGCCCACTTATTCCTGCCTACGTGTAGAACTGCGCTTACACTAGCCGCCACAACTATAACCTCATCCCTCTCCTGCTCTCGCACGCCTACAACTTCGCGCCACTCTGAGGCCTTGCCCCTGACTGGGCACCCCTCCTCGCACGCTGCTTCTCCACTGAGACGCGCGGCCCTGGCCTGCACCGTCGCTGCACCGCTGTGTGCGCTGCACCCACATTCCTGCCACTATTACACTGTGCGTTCTGACGGTCCTCCTCGCACCCACTCTTGCATAGCCCTCCTCGTATTTCCTCCTGTTGCCCACCTCACTTGCGCCTGATTAAGTTTTCTGAGGACTTAAAATATACTGCATTTACAGTACGTACGCCCAACTCGTGGGGAGAAATGTCAGTATGTCGAATTAAGATCAGCGCGCTACATAGACAAGTGTAGATCCCCATACCTTATTCCCAATAATCACAATCTCTTTGGGTGACATGTTCTGCATAGAGGAAGCCATTTTCACCAACCACACCAAACTCGCGCACACTACATCCACAGCACCCACTCTCATCCATCCTCGTATTTACGTGTCTGTCTCTTCATGAGCTCGTTGTCGCTGTG